GGGCAATCCCAGTATTCTGAACACTGATTTTTTATAGCAGGTTTTTACTATTTGGGTAATAAAAATCAAATTATCCAAAAAAATCTAAATTTCATATTAATTATTTATTTTATTGATAGTGTCTATTTTGACATTTTATGTACTTATCTTATACCAAAATTTTATATCATTAATATATGTATTTATTTAAATAAAAAATCTAAACCCGTCGCACCTGCATGGACAGATGGCGAAGCACAGCGAAATAATGCATTTTTGCTCCAGTTGCCTTGATTTGCACTCCACCACGTTACTTTTAACTTTATCACAATCGGTCCCCTTTCCCAAACTCTGGACCTAAAAATAAAAAATGTGTCTTTTATTTCTGGTTTCATGATTTTTAAGATTCATGTACATTCAAATGATGGGTTGCTGCATGCAATATGGCGTCAAAATATCCATGGATTGCGTTGAAACAACTTATCATTGTTGTTTGTTAAGTACAAAACATGAGCTAGGGAAAAAAACAAAATTTTAAAATTTCATAGGATGAATTTATAAAAATTTAAAGAATGAATATATATTATTAATTAAAAATATAAAAGATATATTTAAAATATATAATAATTTAAGAATTTTAAGAGAGAATTATTTTCGTCTGTTTCCTTGGATCTATTCGTAACGAAAATATCTAATTTATTAATAATCATAATCCTCAAAAGGGATGTTGCATGTTTCTTAAATGACAAGGCAGTGTGATGGAATTAGCTTGGTTATTAATGGCAATCCTTATCCCTTAACCCTAAATATGAGAAAATAAAGGAATTCGTAAAATCTATTTTTAATAGTCTGTTTAGGGAAGAAACTATGTATAGCGTTGGAGGTTATTGTCTTCTAATTTTTAATAGAGTCTGTTTAGGGATGAAACTATATAGTGTTGGGGGTTATTGTCTTCTAGTTTATTTCATTAGAAAAAATATAAAGATAAATACTTATTTAGATTTCTAAATTTAAATTATTTTATTTTTTATTTATTATTAATTATATCCAATCTCCTTGAATTAGAATCTTAACTCTGTCCATGAGACTGCTGCTACTCAACTGAGGTTGTTGGAGTGTTTTTCACTTCTTGACTTCAAAATTTGTTTTGTTTCATTTTTAAAAGGAGGCAATTTTAATATATAGTAAAAAAATGTTATAAGTTTTGTTTTTATTTAAATAATAAAATCAGTAAAAAAATTATCAAAAACATTATTATTTTTATCGATTTTATTATTATTAGAGATGCTATCGATTTTATTATTTTTTTTAATCATTTTATTATTGTTAGACATTTTATCGAAAATGTTAAAAATATAGTGAAAAACTGGTTTTTTCAATTAATACCAAACACGTGTTACTTGGCACTCATCTGTTGTCAACCGCCATCCCAACACCCTTTCTTTAAAGAGTTTTATTGTACGGCCATTTAATTTAAAATTAAAAAATAATGATTTTTAGATATGATTGAAAATATAATAAAAGTTATAATATTTTAAATTAATTGGTTGAACTTAAATTATTACAAAGAAGATAATATTTTCAATAATGTTAAAAAATAACATTTTAGATTATACTAAACTTAAAATATTATAATTTTATCAATTTTTATTTATACCTAAAATTATTATTTTTTATCCTTAAATTAAACTATCCCTCTTTATACTTTCCCCGTTTCTTTCTCTTCACTTTGCCGGCCGTTTTTTTTATTATTATTAATGCGTGTCGCAATATATTTTTATCGAAGCCGTTGCTTACTTTATTTCTACTTATATGGATAAACAAAAAGCGGATTTTGTTATCAGCAATTTTTTTAGATAAATAATTAATGTTAATGATGTAGATTTTAATTTTGTTAAAAATTACTTTACTAATTAAAGTAAATGTTTTAACTTGGATACGTTTAAAAATTATTGTCTAATTTGATTTACTTATAATACAGTTATAGTTAAGGAGAAATATATGATTTATATTAGGAGTAAATTTTTAAAATTTTAGAATGTATTAAACTTATAAAATTTTAGAGATGAAAAATATTTAACAACAGAAATTAAAAATAATAATAAAATAAATTATAATTTAAAAATTTCAGGGACAATTGCTCGATCTGTCTTGTTTAGTCCATCCCTAATTATAGTGTGTTTGAGCTAGGGCTGTAAATAAGACGAGACAGATCGTGACCTACTCGAGCTCGATTTGATAAAAGCTTGATAGATACTCAACTTGAATAGATTAGATTCGATTTCTTAATGAGCCGAAACGAGCTACTTTATACTCGACTAAAAAAAATAATATATTAAAGTTTAGTTTTTGAAATTAAATTATTAACATTTATGTGTTGATTTTTTTTAAATACAATATAAGATTTCAATGTAATTAAGGTTTAGATTCGAGTTTGAGCTTCAACCTAGTTAAATTTAAGTTTTTTTTTATTTCGAGTTTTTTAGCTTCAATTCATGGTTTTGAGTTCGATTCGAGTTTGGAAATTTTAGGCTCGTGAGCTTTCGAGACGAGTCGAGTTTTATTTTAAAGCTTTCGAGCTGAACTCCACAATACTCGAGCTCGACTCGACTTGTTTACAACCCTAGTTTGAGCAATCATCATAATTATGGGTTTTATTGAATTGAGTGTAGTTAAAGATTCCAATTATACTCTTCATTTCTTAAAAGAGAGTGAAAATTAGTGTAATTATAAGTCTGGTTATATTTTTTATTTTATAATTGTTTATTATGTAATTACAATTTATACTATCAAACATGGTATAAATAATTAAAAAATAATTATGCTATGTCAGTTAAACATGTATAGTGAATTAATTTTTTTATAATTACACTCACGTATACTTATTAAATGGTAATTATATTTTCATATATTATACAGTAGTGTTAAAAAAACATATAAATTAAATACTTCTTTGTTCCATTAAATTACTATGGAGAGGAAAAAATAATTAAATAGAAATTAAATTGTGTGATTCAAGTCGAATTCATAACTATAACTAATAAATTAATAATTAAAGATGAGGCATAGTGGACCGTAAGGCCACCATTGCCCTTTGCATTAGAATTTATAATAATTCAATGAATATATGACATTGTATGTATTTGACACTGCTTTTTATAATTTTATATATAACAGCATCTAAACAGGTATTAGAAAATAAATAAATAAATAAATTGAAGTGGTTGTTACTTTTCTTTCAACTCATATTATTAAACATTATTATTGTAATGAGTTTTATTCAATATTATTAATAATAATAACATCACAATCATGTTTTACTTTTGATTTTTATAATTTTGTTGAGGTATGCAAATTAAGCACGTCTTTATATTATTATTATTATTATTATTAGAAAGTCAACTTAACCTACAAATTAAATTTCCATGTCTTTGTACTATATAAAACATAATTTATTTGTCAAATTTCATTTTATATGAGGTTAGGAAAATCTCTGACCGTCATTCTAATTAATGACATGCATGTATATTGAAAGTCAAATTATTTTTAAGAATTTCCGTATATTAATAATATCGAATTAGTTATTAGTCAAGTGGTTAATTTGTTAGCTTAACAATCTTACTGTCTAAGAAAGAGAAATAGTCAACTTTGTCGGTCCAATCCAAACAAAGTTAGCAACAACAACATTATTATTGAGGCAAAATTCTGTGAGTTCAGTAATGCCATCATTTCTTCATTCATGCGTAATTGTTTTCTTGAAATTTAAAATTATTATTTATTTTAAATTTTATGTATTTTTTATTAAAAATATGTTTTCGTCTCTTAAAATTTTATAAATTTATTTATTTTTAAAATTTTAAAGATTCATCATCTAATATAAAATCATACGCCTGTCTATGTGCATACATTATATCAATGAAAGTAGTTTTTTGAAATAATTTAATAGTACCGTTTTTTAAATTAACACGAATCTCTTAAAATTATATTAAAATATTTTTTGAATAGTTTAGACGATTATAAAATAATATATGTTCAAAACTTTTTAACAAATTAATATTGTGCACACCCTACAGACGAATTTACTTAAATCCAGAATCTCTAGAAAAAATAATTCATATACTCACACCAATCACTATTATTTGTCGTGGATGTCATTAACCAAATCTCCACCGATGACATAGCCACCTGATGACACAATCACTGTTATTAGTCTTTGAAATCGTTTCGGTCACCGTTACCAAATGTTAATTTTGTGTAAAGGGAGACGGGAGAGAGTGCTATGGGTGAGAGAGAGAGAGAGAGGGAGGGGACGAGGGTGTAGATTTTTTTTTGATTTTTTTTATAAATATAATAATTTATTTTTAAATTTTTTAAAATAAAATCTTCAAAAATATTTAAATATGACATATGTTAATTAACGAGATTTTTTAACAACTGTTATGATCATGACAATTAAAATGATAACGTTTATAACATTAGACACTTAAATTGACCGAAAAATAGTTTAGACACATAAATAAAAAATGGTATAATTTGAACACTTATAAAATATAAAGTCTTTTATTTTACTAATTATTTTTCAAATAAAATTTAAGTCTAATCATAAATAAAATCTTATTTATTATACCTACTCTAATATTTATTATTAATTATTAATATATATAATTAGGGTATAATTTTTGTTTTATATTTTTTTATATAAAATCATAATCAATATCCTATCTCTCAGCTCAAAATTCAGTAATCAAAATAATTTTAATCAATATGTTACAGCAGAAGGACTGCCTGGAGTGGTTTCTTCTGTTCTAATAAAAAAAAAAGTATTTATATTTTCGTAATCTTGTTATGTAGTATTACATTGTATAATCTTATTTTCTTCAATCATAATTTTATATTCATATAAAATCTGACTTTTGACACCACTTTATTTATTTATTTTTAAATTTATTCATTATGTGACCGGTCACCGGCGGCGCGAACAATTAATCTACTATAATAAGCAGAGCATTGAAGTCGTTTAGGTACTATAGAGGAGTGCAGTGCATTGCCGTGCTGTGGAAAACCCACTCTTTCTGTCTCTTACCTTTGTTTTTACAGTTTTGATTAAGATCGCCCTAAAGCAAATATAATGGAATCCAACGAATTTGAACATCTCTTTCTTCTTTGAACTGTCCCAAAGATCCTTCTTTTTCATCGTTTCTGGATACCCAACGCTCTCGACTTGTTTCAGCTTCCAGTTATTTTTAAAGTTTTCAAGCTCCAACTTCTGCTTATGAAGTTTGGGTTTTTAATGGACCTTTCATTTGAAGTTGCAAAAATGGAGATGGGTTCGGCGTTTTATGTTGTTTAATTGTTTGTAGTGAGAGAAACCACTTGTTTCTTTGGTTAAAAATAAGAGTGTTTTCTGTGTGATTTTAAAGCGAGATGGTGTTTTTGCTGCTTTGTTCAATGGGGCCACCGATCAAACGAAGGGCTGGATTGAGAATAAAACAGGCGGGTCGAGGATCATACCGTGGCAGCTAGAGGAGGGCTAAAATTGAGTGATTTAAGTGTGGTGTGAGTATTTGGTTTTAGAGTGCAACAGAAATCTGTGGTTTTTTCTTTTAGTTGAAGAACAATGGCGAATTCTTCTTTAAGGCAGTTTTTGAAGAGTTTTTGCACCAATTCACCTTGGAAATATGCTGTGCTTTGGAAGCTTAGGCACAGGAGCCCCTTGTAAGTTTCTCTTTTGAGTTTAGTTGAAAGAGATCATGTAATAGTATTAATGTTTGCTAAACTTAAGTTCAATTTGTTTCCATGTCTTGATGTAGATATCTTGGCTGAATTCTTTTTGAAATACTACTATTTTTGGGCATAAACTGCTCGTGTTGGTATTTTTTAATGGCAAATGATCTGATAACATATGCTCTGAAACTAGAAACCTGATGAACTTTTGGTATTCTTCATGCTAGTAGAATTACTCGTATGATTAATGCATCTGTAATTTTGGACTATACTTGTTTTCTTCTTCTTTTAAATAACGAAAGTTTCCGTTTAGAATGATGTCATGAGTCTCGTGTTGATTTCAGGGTTTTGACCTGGGAGGATGGGTATTGTGTATATCCAATACCAAGAGAATCTGTGGAAAATATCTCAACTGATGTTTATCCCAACAGTGAGATTATCCCATCACACTTTGAAATGAACATCCCTCATGGTCGTTTTGGAGGATACCCAATTGGCCTGTTGGTGGCTCGTATGTCGCATCTTAAGTATGCATGGGGAGAGGGGTAAAATTTGGATCTCAACTTTTAATGTTTGCTGTAGTGTTCATTTCTTGTGATACGATTAACAGTTTTGTTTTACTTTGGGGGTTATTAAAGTTTCCTTGATTGTGGCTCTTCCTGAAGGAAAGCTTTGCTTCAGGAAATTTATCATGCAGGGCCTCTGGCTCTCATGCTACCGTTATCTCATATTTATGATCATGCACCTACATCTGTCTCTGTTTCTTGGAAAGATTTACCGAGCCAAACTTTGCTCTTACAAGTTGATTCTTTGGTGATTGAAACAAATATTGATTTTGCATCTCTACATTGAACAGGTTTGTTGGTAAAGTAGCATATACGGGGAAGCATTGCTGGATTTCCTATGACAATATTTTCACTGGCAAAGCTGACTTGAAGTTAGCTCCTGAGGTAAGTTTCTATTAATGATGTATGATACATTTAAGATGGTTGAGTTCTGCAAAATGATGGATAACACATACTTGAACTTACAAATATTGTATTTTTTAATTGCTAGTGGCCGGAGGAATGGTTACTTCAGTTTGCATCAGGAATCAAGGTGATATAATCCTGAACTGCACCTTACTAGCCAGAGACTGAACAGAATAGTACATTAGGGGGCCAAATTGCCAAACTTCAAACTTGACAGAGACCTAGGAAGTGTTTAAACCAAACAAAATGGGGGTTAGGGCCTAATTTGTCTAATTTCAAACTTCACTAGAACCTAATAATTATTTAAACAAAAAATGGGGAGCTTATGGTTAACTTGGCTAGTTTCAAAATTAATAGGGACCTAAGAAGTAATTAAATCAGAAAAAATTGGGGGGGGGGGAAGGCTTAATTAACTAGCTTCAGAACTATTGGGACTGAAAAAGCAATTACACTCCATTTATACCTTTAAAATGGATGTTATGTTGATAATTTGTGATGTTCCTACAGACAATTGTGCTGGTATCTGTGCTTCAACATGGAGTTCTGCAGCTTGGTTCGTCGGAGATGGTTTGTATCGGTTTTTTGTTTTCCTTCTGAATTTGTCTTATTGGCTATGATAATGTCCATGTCTCTCTCAGTTGTACACTTGTAGTCACCTTAACTATATACAAGATCACCAGGATGGTTTCAAGCTCATGATCTCTGAAAGTTGTTATTGAGAGTTGAGATCCATATGAATAGCAAGAGCATTAATCAGTGGTGCTCGGATAGGAGATAACTTATTTTCCTTACCCCACCACAACTACTAATCGACAATCTGTACGATGTTCCATATTATATCCTTGCTTTTAAACTGATACATGTCTTAATGTGAGTGAATTTTTGCGCGTCTTAATGTGAGTGTGAATTTTTGTGCGGAAATTGTCGGGTGATTAGATTGAAGTAATGCAGGTGTTGCACTTGTAATATAACTTTAACACACTTGGATTTGTTTCTCTGTACATCAACAGGTTGCTGAAGATTTGTCTATTCCTGCTTACATCAAAGATAAATTTGCCTGCAAGAACATTCACACCCAGTTAACATATTCAGTAATTTTAAGTCCGTTCGAGAAGTTAGAAGTCTCTTCAAGTGAATTAATCAGCCCGCTGAACTCTGAAGATTCAAAGGCTGTTGACAGTGTTGAGCCCAACAAGCTGTTAGCTTTAGATCAGATTGTTCCGCTGTTAAGTTTTCCGAATGAACTACTGGTGCCTGAAATACATTTACCGGAGACTCTAGAAAATGCCAGTGACAGTAGGATTAGAGTCCAACCAGTTAGCCTTTGTGAATTACCATCGCCGCTAAGCCAATCTGTAAGTGTCGACCAGCTTGCAATAACCGAGAGTGAACTGTTCGGTTTGTATTGCCTTAAGGAGGAATTGCAAGCTTATCCTGAATGTAATGTTTACAGAGCCGGAGAGTGTGGAGAAATCTTAGATGAAGTTACAAACTCTTACCCTGCTTGCTATTTTCTCGAACCATCTTTTGGAGACTATGAGATTGATAATGCCGGTTTCCTTAATTTTCCCAAAGAACGTGAATTGCACAAAGCACTTGGACCAGTTTTTGAAAGACAGGGAAATCAATATTTGTTGGAGTCATCGTTTTTGAGTGAGGATGCATTTAGAGATGACATTGATGCAAAAGGAGGCGATGCAGGCTATCTGTTGCAAGCTGTGGTTGGCCATGTATATGATGGCTCTGTTGATATTGCTAATAAATCCACTAGCATAATGACATCTACCGGACAACTTCCGGTGCCCTCTAGACCTCAAAGTGTAAAGACTGATTCATATTCATCAAGCAGACTCATGTCTGCAGTTACTGGTGGGGTGAAAAGCAATCCTTGTTCTAAAATTTCAGCTTCTTTCAAGAGTTCAGTAAGAACGATAACTGATTATGAGAATCCGGCAAATGATGACCATTACACACAATCTAGAAAAGGGAAAAAACAGTCCACTGTCAGAAAGAAAAGGGCTAGACCTGGCGATAACCCAAGGCCAAGGGATAGACAGATGATACAGGAACGGCTTAAGGAGCTTCGAGAACTTGTTCCAAATGGTCCTAAGGTCGGTACTTCCTCAAGTTATTATCTGTTTTTGCTTCTCACTTGTCACTCACATTCTCCATCTGTACTTTTTTACGCTTATCGAAATAATCGATATACTTTTCTGATGAGTTCAGTATAGCATTGATGCTCTTCTGGACCAAACCGTTAAACACATGTTGTATTTGAGGAGTGTGACCAAACAAGCTGAGAAATTGAGGCAATGGGTGGATCGTGAGGTATGTAAAATCCTTGTTAGTAAAATTTAAATTTAACAGTTGCATCTGTGGAAATGTAAAATTTAAACGATCGTTAGATTTCTCCAACTTTGAGAGCCATGGAGTAAATGTGAAATTGTTATGTAGTTCCAATGTAGCATGAACTTATGATGATATGAAGTTGAAAGGCAATAAGAATTTCGAATTTACAGGTATCTGATCTCAAGAATATGAGGTTGTCTGTAACCAAAGATGGTTACCAAAACGGAACAAGCTGGGCTTTTGAGATTGGAGATGAAAGGAAAGTATGTCCCATCGTTGTTAAAGATCTTGCTTATCCAGGCCACTTACTCATAGAGGTCAGTTCTTCGTGGCATACACAACGAAAAATTATTTAATAAAAGAAGAAAATATTAAACTAATAACAAATTTATCAACTACGTCCACTGCAGATGATTTGTAATGAGCATGGTCTGTTTCTAGATATTGCTCAGGTGATCCAAAGCTTTAACTTAACAATCTTAAAGGGTGTTATGGGGAGCTGTTCAAACAATACATGGGCTCATTTCATTGTTGAGGTACCAATCATTTCAGATAACTTTCATGTTTTCCGACGGAAACAATGTTTACAATGTCGTATATCCGAGACAATTTAAACTTCTTGCAGGCTTCTAGTGGCTTCCACAGACTGGATATTTTCTGGCCTTTGATGAAGCTTTTACAGCGTCAAAGAAATCCTATCTCGAGGAATATTTAATGGTGAAAAACCATCTATAGGAACCTCTGGAGTGTAGCGATCGATCATATCACTAAGACCAAGCTGCATGCGAAAAGTTCAACATTTGTGCACGGCATGTCTGGTAGCTCGGTGGATAACCAACCCGAGCAACAGTGTAGGCTTTCTTGTGGCCATCGGGTGTATATATGACCTATGACTATGGTAAGCCCTTGTTCAGAGCTTAAGTTGATCTCTAGGATGTGAATTATTTGTGTTGTCTTCTTTGTTGTTTCTCTAATCTACTCCGAGTACTGTTTGTTGTTGCTAAGTCACGAGTTCGTGCTTTGTTGAAAGAATAAATTACAGTTCCTCTCTCAGCTTTGCTTAATCTTATATTTATCTTCAATCATCTGCCATTACATTTATAGAAGCCTTATAAAAGGAGAACAAATGATAAGAACTTATCACCCAATAATACCCTAAATGTTCCAGTTAAACACAATCCATAACTGTTCATTCAACCCCATTAGTTTTTGCGCAAAGTTTGTCTAATACATGCAAGTAGCATCATGATACAGATTTCAAGGATTGAATAAATTAAAGCTGAAGTTTTGAAATGGCCAACAGCCACCTGCTGTATACCCTCCATCCACACAAATAACCTGTCCAGTGATGTATGAGGCAGCTGGAAGGCAAAGGAATGCCACCATCGAAATCTCTTCTGGTTCGCTATCCTCGGCATTGCCGTTCCACCTATTAGCCTAAGGAACTCCACAACATATGCAGCGTCTGCCTCCTGGAACAGAAACGAATCGAATCTTAAAGGTCTTAAAAAACATGTCTATGCTTACTTATTGAGGTGGAGGTAATTTACTGGTTTCGTAATAGATGTTCTAACAGCCCACGGCGAAACCGTATTTATCCGAATGTTATCCTTTGCCCACTCACATGCTAAGCTCTTTGTAATTTGGTTAATTGCACCTTTGGACGCCGAATAAGCTGATAACCGAGGCAGAGCCATTGAACCAGCTACAGAGGAGATGAACACAATACTTCCATTTCCTGATGCTTTCAGGAAAGGATGTGCGAGCTGAGAAAGATGATAAGGAGCCTCGACGTTGGTAATCATTACAGTTGTGTAGTCTTCCAGAGTTTGTTCCTCGCAAGGCTTGATTATAGTGGTTCCTGCATTATTGACCTGCGGAGAAAATTCGTTTCAATCACTTATTGACATGGAAGGAAAAATGTTACTAGGATTCGGATATGAGTAGAGACGGCAGTAAAATATTCTGGATCCGTCACTGTCTTCAGATACAAGTGTTATTATGGGTATATTGGTACGATTATGTTTTCTCTAAGACTTTTGTGTGTTTACATCAAAGAATCATAATAAGGAAGGGTGGATGACAAGCTTAACAAAATGAGTGAACAAGTAGTCCATGAGTGCAAAATTAAGAACTAAGGACAAAATGAGTGAACAGTAGTCCATGAGTGCAAAATTAAGAACTAAGGACAAACCTGGGTGGTTAGAGATAAAACATATTCTTAGAACTGAAAAAAGATGAAGAAAATATTACGAGGATGCTGAGTTTGCCATCAAAAACAGATGAGGACAGTCTCCATAAGCTTCTCTCTTTGCTCTCTGCAAGAAAGGTCAAACCGAACCAGTCACTTAAACCCTTACTCTGCCATTCTTGTAACTTTTCATTAAGCTCTGTATGATTCCTGGAACATGTATGAACTACTGCCCCAAGTGTTGCTAGTTCTCCCACAGTTGCATATCTGACAGACCATTGAACCGTCTATTCATGAAAGGAACCTATAAAGAGGTAACAAAACAAGAAGATGGATAGAAATGGAGGTGGTCGAACCCTATGCCTCTTGTTCCACCAGTGACAAGGGCAGTCATGCCGTAGAGACCACCTTGATTCTTAAAACCTGCTTCTTTTCAGCCATGTTAAACCAACCACTGTAACTCTTTGTTTTTTTGAATGAAGTGAAAACACTAACCACTTCCGGTTTTAATGGTATAACCTGAAACGTGGATAAAATAGTTAATAAGAAATGCTCATTGGCTATTGTCAACCAAAACAAAGAAAATTAAGAATCCAGAAAAAGACAAACCAAAACGTCGAAAAAATCTACCAGCTATGTAAACTGGGTTTCAAATTTTTCTCCTGGAAATCTAGTCTCTGACTTCCCCATTTTAACTTGATCCAGGGCAGGATTGAAGCCAAAAAGACTCGACTGTTACAAATGCTATAAGAATCTTTGACAATGGCTGAAAAATCTCAAACCCCATTTACCATGATTTGATTCTTTCATTAAAAAAAAAAAAGCATTGCGAGGACCTATAAAAAGTAACCTACACTCTCATTTTTGGTGTAGAAAATTTTCAAAAAGTAGTACGGTTGTTGGAGTGAAATTTGGAGGTGAACATATAATGCCAATCCCACACAAATTAATTTCTTTGACTTCGATAAAATAAAAAACTACTTTTAGGTGGATGAAAAGTGTCGTTGTATAATGTAGAGACGTACGAGAAAAAAAGCAGATGGATACTTAGAGAAATTTGAACTTTTAGAGCACGCTTTTCGGTTCTAGACACTACAAGCTTTTGTTTTTGTATTATAAATTTACGATGAGTCGGGAACATCAGCATGCCCCAAAACGTGACTGTTTTTTGTCCAAATGTCTAATGTAAAGTTAGCAGGTCTATCCAAAACATTAGCTTAGAAAGTAGAAAAACATGTCTATGTCTGATTGTTGCTTTTTCTACTGATTTAAGATTTTATGCTTAAAAAATTATGATTTCTTATACAACGATAACGGTGAGTATAAACGATTGTATAGTAAAAAGAGATAAAATTAAGATTTTAGAATTCATATAAAAAATTCTAATAAAAAAACTATACGCATAGAAAGATAAATTCGCTATTTTAGAAAAAGAGAGAACTAGATTATTGTAACTATGTGCGATGTGAGATTAATCAACTCACTTTAACTCTAAGTCTAGCCTATATTTATAGGGATAAGTTTTAATACAAAGGAAACTTGCATAAAGACTATTCAAGTTGAGTTTCCCATTATTAGTCAAAATCAAATTGGATTCAACAAATCCACTCTATTTTCTCTATTTTATTTGTTTACTATGCGAGTGACATCGAACTATTCGGGTCGAATCTAATGAAATTTGAATCAACAACTATAATAATCTCCAACTTTACATGAATTCTCGATGAAGAAGCTCTCTACCTCTTCTATAAAATCACTTAAAAGATATTTTTCAATAATTAACATCGACCAAATCAAACGGTATTCAAACTTAACTATAGAAAGTGACTTAATCAATATATCTATAGGGTTGACATGAATGCTAATTTGATCACAATAATGTTATCAAGAGAAATAATATCGTATACAAAATGTTATCAAACATTAATGTATCCCGTCCTTTCATGAAACATTTGATTATTTGTAAGTAAACGACACTCTAACTATAAAAAAAAATAATGTATTGATCTAAAGCTCTTCGTTGAGTTCACCAAAAAGTCTATTAAATCAAATTGATTCTTTACAAGCCTCGGTAATTGTCTTGTACTTGGTTTAAGTAATTGATAAAATAATTGTAGTCTGCTAAGTGACTTTGCAACTAATGTAGCCTCCAATATTAAAGAAGTTCCCCGTGATAGATCTTTATCAAGATTTCATGCAAATTAAAATTAACGAACCCAATGAATCCATCTTAAATTATTCCAAAGTGTAAACAAACATAAATAGTACCTTGTAAGTATCTCAAGATCCACCGAATTTTTTAGTGTTCTTTATATGATACTTACCGTTCTGATTATATATGATAAGTCTGGACTAAGGCATACATGAGAGATCCCATTGGATTATAATATATAACCTGTGATATGTATTCCTATAAATCACTTAAAAAGATATTTTCAATAATTAACATCGACCAAATTCAAACGGTATCAAACTTAACTATAGAAAGTGACTTAATCAATATATCTGTAGGGTTGACATGAATGCTAATTTGATCACAATAATGTATCAAGAGAAATAATATCGTATACAAAATGTTATCAAACATTAATGTATCCCGTCCTTTCATGAAACATTTGATTATTTGTAAGTAAAACGACACTCTAACTATAAAAAAAATAAGTATTGATCTAAAGCTCTTCGTTGAGTTCACCAAAAAGTCTATTAAATCAAATTGATTCTTTACAAGCCTCGGTAATTGTCTTGTACTTAGTTTAAGTAATTGATAAATAATTGTAGTCTGCTAATGACTTTGCAACTAATAATGTAGCCTCCAATATTAAAGAAGTTCCCCGTGATAGATCTTATCAAGATTTCATGCAAATTAAAATTAACGAACCCATGAATCCATCTTAAATTATTCCAAAGTGTAAACAAACATAATAGTACCTTGTAAGTATCTCAAGATCCACCGAATTACCTTTTAGTGTTCTTTATATGATACTTACCGTTCTGATTATATATGATAAGTCTGGATAAGGCATACATGAGAGATCCCATTGGATTATAATATAACCTGTATTCAATTTCATCATCTAATTATGGAGACAAGATTGATGAAAGTATGAAGTGCGCTGCTAATGAAGTATCAATAGGTTTAGTACTCTGCATATTACACTTGCAAAGGACTTTCTCTATATACTATTTCTGACTTAGATGCAACTGACATGCTTTTCTATTTCTAAAATTCCAATCTCGAGTATCTTCTTTATTGTCTCAAATTCATTATTAATTTCTCCTTATTTTGGATGCTATCATTATGTAATCAATATAAAGGAAAAAGAAAAATCCATACAATGTCTAGAAAAAAAAAAAAAAAACAGGCTACTAGTCAATCCTTAAGTATCAATCAGAACCTAAAGATTAGAGGGATCTGAAAAGATTGAAATTTTCCATCTCTTCTCGCCAATGATTAAGCCTCTATGCCAAAGCAAATTTGAAGCAAGTTGAATCGATTGAAAAGATCTTGATACTTTCAGCCTTCTTTCGGGTCACAAGGCGAAGAAAACTAAGACCAAAATCTGGTTCTATCCTAATACTAATCCAGGACGAGCCTCGTTATAAGCTCCCGAGTTAGATTTCACCAAAAATTGGGTAATTACTCGGAATTCTTGTTAGACACATGCCCTCCGCCGAAGCATCCTCGAAAAAATTAATAAAAAGCTTAAGGGCTGAACTTCTCTTACCCCTCTTTTTCCGGCCAAGACACTTTAACTAAATCTGTTCTTGCTTCTATCCCTTCCTATTTCATGCCAACTGCATGCTCCCCAGCCATATCTGTGAAAAAAATGAAAACTGATTCGTTGCTTCATTTGGTGTTCAAAATATGCGCTAGTAAGTTGGGACACTCTC